TGTACATTTGCCCAAAACCAGTCAAAATTACTTCCTTGGGCAATTTATTGTTAATTATGGAAGGGCGAAGGTTAATTCGAGATTTTGAGGACGCGTTTTCTAATATGCAACGACACAACGTTTTACGATGGAACAAGACAGTTATTTGATTACTTACATTCTTGCACGGGGCGATTAAAATTAGAAGATGTTATCGGTCTTAAAACGGGGAGAGACTAACGGTTCCCGCGTTATCCATGGAAATCTCTCTTCAGAGAAATATACGTACGTATGCATGTAAGTACAGTTGCAGTGTAACGCGACGGAACGGTTTTATTTTCGACGCGATGTCGCAGGAAATCCTGCTATTCAAACCTGAGAAAATGGGCTGAAGCTTTCTTTAGGGATTCCGCTCGCACGTCTACGCGCCTACAATGCCAGTCAGGAATGAATGGCACGAGGTTCAAATACATCTCTCGATTAAAAATACTACGCAAAATGAACTCGTTACATCGAGTGCATTTGTAAAATAAAATATGCAGACATGTTGTTGCATATTAGAATTCGTAATGGATTTGTAAAATCAAATCAAAGTCAGTTCTGTAAAAGTGTATCGAGGATTTAGTTAGGAAAAGGGACCGTGCCAGTTTCCTGACTGGCTTTCGGTCGCAAGTGGACCGTGCGAAGAAAATCCTGTGAAGGATTCGCGACGCGAACGAAATTGTTCTTTTGTCATCGAATCGAGATTCGGAGCGGAACCACTTTACCAATTCAAACACTGCGGTTACGGATTCAGTTTACGTTTCATCGTTAAGGAGTGATAGCGAGGTTTATTAAATGGAAAACAGTATTACGTAAATGAAGACGATTAATTTGATCCAAAGAAGATTAGGTTGATAAATAATATAAATAACGAATGATCACGTAAATCGCTGAGGGATTTAATTATGCGTTGCAGGAAGAATACGTAGCGGAAAGTATCGCGTGGACGCCCATAGAGTACTTCAATAATGCGATTGTCGTTGAGTTACTGGAGGGTAAACGTCCACCGGGACTATTCTTGATCCTAGACGACGTTTGCGCGACTCTTCACGGCGGTAGCACGGGAGCCGACGCAGATTTGCAAAAGGTATATTCAGATACACTTGAAAATATTTATGTTCGTCGATACACGTATTTATAATTTTAATCGTAGAAACTCGCGGTCGTGGCTGATAAGCACGAACATTTCCAAAGTACAAAAGAAGGATTTGTTATTTATCACTACGCTGGTGTGGTCTCTTACTCGGTCGATGGATTTTGCGATAAGAACCGCGACGTACTCTTCCCTGATCTAGTTGAGCTGATGCAAACGAGCACCAAGTATGTTATCTTTATTGAGAAATTGTTAGAATCGAGCAAACAGATTCGAAATTCGCATTTATAACGTTCGAAGAAACTTGAAGCTGACTGCCCCGTGAAACGTTAAATTGCAGTTGTTTGGTTCAGAAACTGTACTCCTCCGAAGGATTACAGGCGAGCAAGACGAAAACTCTGAGATCTAGGCCCACTACCGCTGGTAACAAGATCAGGAATCAGGCTAGCCGGCTGGTGAGCCAACTGATGAAATGCACGCCGCATTATATCAGATGCATCAAGCCGAACGAGACTAAAAAGCCTCGTGACTGGGACTCTGCCAGAGTGAAACATCAGGTGGAATATTTAGGTTTGAAGGAGAACATCAAAGTGCGCAGAGCCGGTTTCGCGTACAGGAGACCGTTCAACAAATTCATACAGAGATACGAGATTCTTATTAACAAGAATCAAAGAAATGACATCGATGAGAAACGAGTGATCCAACAGACACTAAGCAGTCTTCAAATCGATCAATCGCAGTACCAATTGGGGAAGACGAAATTGTTTATAAAAGCTCCGGAAACTGTAAGCGCTCTCATCTTAAACATTTTTCAATCGTATAATTATTAAAGAAGACTAAAGTGTAATGCGTTTGCTATTAGCTCTTCATGTTGGAGGAAGCGAGAGACCGGAAGTACAATATGTACGCGAGAGTGATCCAAAAGGCGTTTAAAAAGTATTTCGCACGGAGGAGACAGGAACAGGAGAAACAACAGGCGGCCGATTTACTGTTCGGTCACAAGGAACGTAGACGCGCTAGTTTCAATAGAAACTTCATGGGCGATTACATCGGATTAGAGGGGAAACGGCAAATGTTGAATCTGATCGGTAGAAAGGAGAAGGTTTTCTTCGCTGAAACCGTAAAGAAGTATGACAGGAGGTTCAAGGTATAATTGTATTCGTGTTATAATTGTATTGAATGATTTTATGCAATGCTGGATGCATAATGAATGATCGGATTGCAGGTGAGTAGAAGGGATCTCATCTTGACTAGCAAATATTTATACCTAATCGGTCGAGAGCAAGTTAAAAAAGGTCCTGAGAAGGGCAAAAAGGTCGAGATTATAAAACGGAAGCTGTCGTTCAACCAAATTAGTAACATATCGTTAAGTACGCTTCAAGTAAGCAAACTCATTTCTTGTTATTACAATTGTTTAACACTTGAGTTATTAATTGCATCGTTTACTAGGACGACTTTGTCGTTATCCATGCCAAAGATGACTATGGCAGTCTGTTAGAATTAACATTCAAAACCGAATTTTTAATTGCGCTAAGTAAAAGATACGTCGAGGAGACCGGGCACGTCCTGAATATTAAATTCGGCAACCAGTAAGGCTTCCCTATTGATTAATAAATATTTAATCCCCAGTGATTTACGTGCTTGACAAATGAATTCCTTCGCAGTTTAGAGTTCAAGATCAAGAAGGAAGGGTGGGGAAGCGGAGGTACGAGACACGTACAGTTTACGCAAATTGATTACGGTGATAAAGAGATACTGAAATCAAGCGGGAAGATCCTGAACGTTTGCATCGGGCCGGGATTACCATCTACCACCAGTAAGTTATCAATTTTCGAATGATTTAATAAAATGGGGCATAAGTTAGCAGTCGATGTTTGAACACTTCGATTTACTCATATTTTAGAGCTAAACGTTAACAGAACATCGGCGGGTCACCGATACGGCAAGGTGAATGCTAGTCATTCGTTTCGACAAACGAACCCTCGCTCTCAGTTCGAAGTTACTGAGAAACCGAAATTATCAGTAGCAGATTCCTCGAATAGGGCGGTACGTCTATCCAATCAGAAAAAGCAAGTGATGCAGGAGCCGAAGAAGTTAGAAAATAATAACATGCCTCTAATGGGCATGTTCACTAATCCAACAGCTCGACCTAGAGGTAAATCATGCTTGTAATAAAAATCGACAAAAGGCGAAACAGTGACGAGGCATGCTTGCAAAATTATAAATAAGAGGAAACGTTGTAAAATTCTAATTATGGTTTAGCAGGTATGTTAAGGTTCCCACCACCTCCCTCGGAACCTCCGCCACCGTGCACACCGGTTCCTTTGGGATTTAGGATGCCAGCCATTGATAATAACGGCAATAAAAGCACGCAGAACGACGCGAAGACTAAACCCGTGCGTCCCGCGCCTCGGGCTCCTGTGAATATTAGACAGAAACCAGCACTGCCAAGTTTGCCGAAAGCTAAATCGTTGTACGACTACAGTCCCCAAGACGTCGACGAGCTGCAGCTCAAGGAGGGTGACATCATTGAAATACTTAAAGAAGGTGAGTATAATCAATCAAATGTTATATTTTCTACAAATCAATATGAATTTTGTTTTAGACAAAGATGGCTGGTGGCACGGTAGATTGAACGGGAGGACAGGTCTCTTTCCGTCGAATTATATTGTTAAAATATAAAGCCTCACGTACAGACTTCGCAATGCTGTTAGCTGTGCACAGTGCTGTTACTATACAATTCAAGGTATTATTTAATTGATCGAAATAAATTAATTATTTTGAATAAATGAAATGTTCCCAAAAAAAACTTTATCCTCCCTTTGTTCCTTTAAGAATTTATCATTTTGCAAGACACTCGTGCATCCCGAATATCCTTCCTCCAACTTCGAAATGCAGAGTGCGCGTACAGTTCTCCTCTCCGTTTCACACTACCCAGGTGAGCACTTATTTTTACAAGCCTTTATAAAATCTTTACATCTATGAACACTTCCTATGTTCTGAATGTTAAAATAAATAAGGATAAGAATTAGCTAGCAAAATTTCGGGATTTGAAATCTTTTGCAGTAATAATAGTGTCCGTATTTGACAACGCGTTTGAGAATTCAACAGTATGATTAAGTGCTCGGGCGGTGCACTTATTATTGTCATGTTAAATTTCAATTTTCAATCTGATCGAAGTGTATTTGTGTAATTATAGTGTCACATGTTTATTATAACACAGCATCCCAAGGATATTCTACAAATTCCAGCGAAGATTTGAGACTGACGTCAGCGAAATGTAAGTTGAAAGTGTAAAATTCATTTTTTAAATTGATATCTAAGGTTCATTTCATATAAGAATCATCACTCTTATCACGGAAGACATTAGGATAGAATAATCAGTTTACACTTTGTCTTTGCTCGTTGCTGTTTTATTTATTCAATTAAAGAGATAAAAGCGAAACGTTGTTACATCATCATAAAACCGTGTGTAGATATCGTAGTCGTTATCGTTACATGAAAGTAAGCGTGTTCCCCGTGCTTCCGGATCTGGACCTGGGCACGATCGTATCCGAGAATCGAACCGTGACCTCGCCCACTGCCATGTTGCCCGTAAGAAACTGTGCTAAAGTTTCGACACCCGCGCGCGGTTGACGATCGAACGGATAGCCCATGGGACGTGCGTCAGGATATTTTCTGTCTCTCAGTCCACAGAAACTTATCGCGTCCTTGCAGCCGGTCGGTTCGTCTTGTTCGACCTGTTAAAGATGACAAAATCAATGAACTAATACATGTTCGTCCAGAATCGATCAGGCTGAAAATCTCGCGATGAGAAATGATAAACTCACTGCGTCGCCGGTATAATCAGAAATCATGACGAACAGTTCCATGCGGAAGCCCTCCTTGTTTCCTTTCGGTACGAGCATATGCTGTGGCCATCCGCAGCCGCAGAAATCGAACGACACGAGAGAGTCACCGCTTATAGGCCTGTTTTCGTCTAAATTACGGAAGGTCCTCTCGAAAGGAATCGTCACCGACGATTGCGTCGATCTCCGCTCGATTTTATTCTCACCCGGCCGAACTGTGGCGATGAGGAATACAATTTTTACGTTTCAATCGAGAAGTTAAAAAGTCGAAGAAATTTCGATTAAAAAATTGTAACAGTAAAATTAGGGACTTACGCGTGACAGGGAATTTGTCCATTTCAATCATTAAATTCTTCTGTTGTCTGTACGTAAACGGTAAACCGCGTTCGTCTTCCTTAGGACCGATAAAGATGCGAACAGTGCCTCTGCGCGATTGATTGTTACGATTATTGACGACGATCGTGTACAGGAAATCGGCGTGATTCAGATGAGTGAATCGAGCGAGGACCGCACCGCGTGGCGTGAAATCAAGCCCACGCGACAGGTCCACGTCGCTCTTCGTCCAGAACGTGTTTAAGACGTTACGTTGATTATTAGTAGTCAATTTGATATCAGATATCTCGACACCAGGGAAATCCAACTATAAATAAGAATAGAAAAACACACTTCTTTAGTACAAAACAAATTTGTATTAGAATCGTTATTGTTTGACCGTCGTACTTGTTCTACAGTGTACTGCGGCAATGTGTTCTTATGCTCCTGGAATATGTCGTCGACGAAAGCGTGCCATCTGTAAAATATAGGATCCCTCATTGCAGTCGCATTATCTCCCATCACTCCGAACGACTCCTGCGATATAATAAATGCATTCATTGATGAGGATTAAATATTGCTTTATTGTTAATATAAATTACCAAGTAACGGTGATCCGGATCATGCACGTATGAGATAGCCACGTGACCAAAGTTATGCAAATCGCCGTAGACGTTCTGGTTAGGAGACAGAATACTAGATTCCAAGATATTTCCCAAAACATTTATTCCATCTTTCTCTGTTAATGGGATCCTCTCGCCTCTGGTGTTGATCACCGAGCCAGTGTGGATCGCCTCGTAGATCCTGTCCCGCCAACGTTCTAAATCCTGAATGTCAAAGTCCAATTCGTCCACTTGTCGGTTGACGTCCCCCAGTACAGCGCCGGTGGGTCTGGCCGGCCACGTTCTGCTCGCGACCAGAGAGTCTAGTTTCGGGAAATAAGCTTCCGGAATCGGTTCGCGCCAGTTGATGAACCGCTTCACGCGCCCTAATCGGTTACACAGACGCTCGCAGTTGTATCTGTGAATCAGTGTATTCGATTAATCGTAACAATTGAATTGCAGATTTTTATAGAAAGACGAATCAAGAGATAAAAACGGGGTCGAATCGGCTCACCTAGCCATGACCTGTTGATGCATGTAGTAAAACAGCTCTCCTCTACGGTCTTTGTTCACAATTGAAACGTCGCCCTCGAACGGGTATACCAAATGCCAGTGCCAGTGATGGAGATTAATACCGACGTCCTCTCGCCAGTAGGCAACGCGATGCTCCTCGTCGAGGTCCGTCGCGGTATAATCCTTTGGTATTTCAATCGGTATCTAATTGCAATTGAAAAATTTCATTACAATTTATCGTATTTCTCAAAGAAATTTAAATTGGGTCAACTACAAAATATGTATTTCATTTTTTAAATGGATATATAATGATTTTGCATAATTTTGCGTACCCTGGAGCCTTCGGGCACGATGTTGGCCTCCTCCCTGGCTCTGGAGAAAATCCCTCTATCCAGATACTTATCCGGAAACACCTCAGTTAACGGTGGTATCGGTAAATCTTTCGTGTCCGGTCGATGAAGGATTGCCACTGACAGGGCGTATATAAACAAATTCGGGTTCACTCGGTCACGGCAGTAAACCGCGACGGACAGAAAATCCTCGTAGGTTCGCATGCCTGGAACACGAAAAGAAACAATAAGTGCAATGCGAATAATTGTAATTAATCGTTGAAAGAATATAGCATTCGTTATATCGTACCCATGAAAATATCGATGAGCCGGGCAGCTATTTTTCGGTGTTGAGGAATGAAAAGCGAGAATGGTTGACGCCGATCCAGTTGCATAGGAATGGTCAGATCCGGAAGCGTAATTTGCTTCACCTGTAGCTTCGAATCCGTACTGTCGTCAAAGCGACTGAACACTTGAGGGCCCAGTGATTGATATTTCTCCGGCTAATAATTATCATAAATTTGTAAATATGTAAAGGTTTAATTTTAAAGTAATTTGCCATAAGTGTATAAAAATGATCGTATGCACTCACCAAGTAGTCAGCTGGGATATCAAAGGCGACTTTCTTCTCACCCTTGGGCACGTAGACCGGTTCAGCCGGCCGATCGAACAAGTACAAAATTCCTGATTTGTCTGTCGTCATTTTAATTGTTTTATAATTTATAAAACAGGATTTTAATGATCCTTTTATATAAAAAGTAACAGATTTGACTAAACAGAGATATAAAATTAATTCTGTCGATTAAAAGTCGGTGTTAAAAGTAAAGAACGATGTGAATGATTTGAAAATAACTTTTCGTACAATTACTAATCGAAGAGGCAAAAAGACGTTTAAGCTGGAACAACTAAAGTCGGTTTGTGAGGATCCTAGCTGGTCTTCGGCTTTATATGAAGAACCAGATGGGATGTGACGGTGTCTTTCGAAACCGCGAAAATGAGGATTATCAAAAATCAAGAACGATAGTGTCACTCGTGACCACATATGAGGGTTTACTCTTCCTGTTTTTCAGGGAAATAGTTTGTGGCTTCCCGAGATAATCAGCCGTAAATAACGTTCTTTTTAGAAAAGAAAATTGAATATCTAGTACGACGATGATTAAATAAGTTTTGTACAGTTTTATCCAATATTGGAAATCAGAAAACGATCTTGATATCTTTGTATGTAAATGAAACGTATTCTGTGATCTGCAAAATAGCGTAGGTGAATTGAATAACGAGATTGACGAGCTCTAGCGCTGAAATATTATTTCACTTAACATTCGTGGCAACAATTGCATAAATTAATTCGCGTTCAGAATACTAGTGGATGAAATTGAATCGCGTAGAATAGGATCTCGTCACGGTTGATTTCTAACATGATTAGACGGCACGAGCTACGAGAATTCATAGCAAGGGGCGATACAGATAAATCATGTATTTTTATTTATAAATGAAGCGCGTCTCTTTATTTGAAAATCATTTCTATTACATTTACTTTTATTTAAAGGATATTTGGTATAGGTTCTCAAATAGTGAATATTTGACACCGCGATTAATATACAGTGGATTTTATGCATTTATAAGAAAACGCTTGAAGGATATTTGATATAAATTTTCAAGCCTTTATTAAACTTTTACATCGATGAACACTTCGTGCATTCTGAATGTTAAGATAAATAGGGATAAGAATTAGCTAGCAAAATAGAAAGATCCTATGAAATTTTCCTGTAGGACCAACAGTGTAGGAGTATTGAAGAAAAACGAATTTTTTGTCAAAAGTTCACCATTTCGATGGTGAGACGGTCGGATTTCGTCAATGCCAATAAAATGCCAATTAACTGCATTTAACATCTTAAATACTAGAGTTAGAAGAAAAATGCATAGAACCTTTCTTGTCAGTGCCTACAACTTTTGTATAAAAAGCTTTTCGCCATGGTCAATAAATAATTGGATATTTCCTTCTATACGTTTTAACACGTAGCTATTTATTATTAGCATTGTTCTTACGACGTCTGATTTCTTTTTAATTATAGGAAATGCGTTTTTCTAAAGTACATAAACTTTTGAGATTGATTGTATAGCCAATACATCCTTAAGTGCTAGGGCGGTGCACTCGTTATTCTCATGTTAAATTTCAGTTCCCAATGTGATCGAAGTGTATTTTTGTAATAATAGTGTCACATGTTTATTATAACACAGCAAGTGAATATCCCGAGGATATTCTACAAATTCCTTGTTGAAATCTGTTTTCTTTCTTACTCGTGGATTATCCCCTTTAATATCGATAAATCATAGAAGAGGAGTCGTAATGTAAAATTAATTTTTTAGATGGATACTCAAGTTCCATTTCATATAAGAATTGTCACTCTTATCACAGGACACATTAGGATAGAATAATCAGGTTACACTTTGTCTTTGCTCGTTGCTGTTTTATTTATTCAACTAAAGAGATAAAAGCGAAACGTTGTTACATCATCATAAAACCGTGTGTAGATATCGTAGTCGTTATCGTTTCATAAAAGCAATCCTGTTCCACTTGCTTCCGGGTCAGGACGAGGGTACGATCGTGTCCGAGAATCGAACCGTGACCTCGCCCACTTTCATGTTCCCCGTAAGGAATTGTGCTAAAGTTTTGACACCATCGCGTGGTTGACGGTCGAACGGGTAGCCCATGGAACGTGCGTCAGGATATTTCCTGTCCCTCAGTCCACAGAAACTTACCCCGGTCCTGCAGCTGGTCGATTCGTCTTGTTCGACCTATTAAAGATGACAAAATCAATGAACTAATACATGTTCGTCCAGAATCGATCAGGCTGAAAATCTCGCGATGAGAAATGATAAACTCACTGCGTCGTCGGTATAATCAGAAATCATGACGAACAGTTGCATGCGGAAGCCCTCCTTCTTTCCTTTGGGTACGAGCATATGCTGTGGCCATCCGCAGCTGCAGAAATCGGACGAAACGGAAGAGTCACCATTTATAGGCCTCTTATCGTCTAAATCGGGGAAGGTGTTCTTGAAAGGAATCGTCACCGACGACTCCGTCGACTTTCGCTCGATTTTATTCTCGCCCGGTTGAACTGTGGCGATAAGGAATACAATTTTTACGTTTCAATCGAGAAGTTAAAAAGTCGAAGAAATTTCGATTAAAAAATTGTAACAGTAAAATTAGGGACTTACGCGTGACAGCGAATTTGTCCATTTCAATCATTAAATTTTTCTGTTGGCTGTACGTAAACGGCATACCGCGTTCGTCTTCTTTAGGACCGATAAAGATGCGAACGGTACCTTTGCGTGGTTCATTGTTACGATTATTGACGACGATCGTGTATAGGAATTCGGTGTGATTTAGATGGGTGAATCGAACGCGGATCGGACCGTGTGCCTTAAAATCAACGCCGTACGACAAGTCCATCTCGCTCTCCGTCCAGAACGTGTTTAAAACGTTAGGTTGATCGTTAGTAGTCAATTTAATATCAGCTATCTCCACGCCAAGGAAATCCAACTATAAACAAGAATAGAGAGACAAACTTCTTTACTACAAAACAAATTTGTATTAGAATCGTTATTGTTTGACCATCGTACTTGTTCTACGGTGTACTTCGGCAATGTATCCTTATGCTCTTGGAATACGTCGTCGATGAAAGCGTGCCATCTGTAAAATATAGGATCCCTCATTGCAGTCGCATTATCTCCCATCACTCCGAACGACTCCTGCGATATAATAAATGCATTCATTGATGAGGATTAAATATTGCTTTATTCTAAATATAAATTACCAAGTGACGGTGATCCGGATCGTGCACGGTTGAGAGAGCCATGTGACCAAAATTATGCAAATCGCCGTAGATGTTCCGATTAGGAGACAGCATACTAGATTCCAAGATATTTCCCAAAACATCTATTCCATCTTTCTCTGTTAATGGTATCCTCTCGCCTTTGGTGTTGATCACCGAGCCCGTGTGGATAGCCTCGTAGATCCTGTCCCGCCACCGTTCTAAATCCTGTATGTCAAAGTTCGCTTCGTCCACTTGTCGGTTGACGTCCCTCAGTACAGCGCCGGTGGGTCTGGCCGGCCACGTTCTGCTCGCGACCAGAGAGTCTAGTTTCGGGAAGTAAGCTTCCGGAATCGGTTCGCGCCAGTTGATGAACCGCTTCACGCGCCCTAATCGGTTACACAGACGCTCGCAATTGTATCTGTGAACCAGTGGATTCGATTAATCGTTGTAACAATTGATCTGCAAATTTTTAAAAACGAATCAAGAGATAAAAAAGGGGTCGAATCGGCTCACCTAGCCATCATCTGTTGATGCATGTAGTAAAACAGTTCTCCTCTTCGGTCTTTGTTCACAATAGTAATATTACTGTCATGCGGATAAACCAAATGCCAGTGCCAGTGGTGAAGATTGATACCGATGTCCTCTCGCCAGTAGGCAACGCGATGCTCCACTTCGACATCGGTCGCGGTATCGTACTTTGATATATCAATCGTTTCCTAATTGCAATTAAAAAATTTCATTACGATTTATTAGATATTTCTCAAATTAGTATCTTAATTAATTTTGATAGTAATCTTAATTCTTTAGTCCGGGTCAATTACAAAAGATGTATTTCATTTTTTAAATGGACATATAATAATTTTGCATAATTTTGGGTACCCTCAAGTTAACGGGTATGCTGGCCTCCTCCCTGGCTCTGGAGAAAACCCCTCTAGCCAGATACTTGTCCGGAAACACCAAACTTAACGGTGGTATCGGTAAATCTTTCGTGTCCGGTCGATGAAGCATTGCCACTGACAGGGCGTATATAAACAAATTCGGGTTCACTCGGTCACGGCAGTAAACCGCGACGGACAGTAAATCCTCGTAGGTTTTCATGCCTGGAACGCGAAAAGAAATAATAAGTGCAATGCGAACAACTGCAATTAATCGTTGAAAGAATATAGCATTCGTTATATCGTACCCATGAAAATGTCGATGAGCCGGGCAGCTATCTTTCGGTGTCGAGGGATGAAAAGCGAGAATGGTTGACGCCGATCCAGTTGCATAGGGATCCTCAGATCCGGAAGCGTGATTTGCTTGATCTTTATCTTCGAAACCGTACTGTCGTGAAAGTGACTGAACAATTCACTGTGCCGTAATCGATGTTTCTCCGGCTAACAATTATCATCAATTTGTAAATATATAAAGGATTAATTTTAAAATAATTTGCCATAAGTGTATAAAAATGATCGTATGTACTCACCAAGTAGTGAGATGGAATATCAAAGACCACTTTCTTGTCACCCTTGGGCACGTAGACCGGTTCAGTTGGCCGAACGAACAAATACAAAATTCCTGATCTGTCTGTCGTCATTTTAATTGTTTTATGATTTATAAAAC